CCCCCCCCGCCGCCCGCCCGCCCGACCCCCCCCCCCCCAAGCATGACGTTATATGGTATGGAATAGCCCTTTGGTCAGTTTGGGTTAGCTGTGCTAGCTGTGCTGTACTCCCAGCTTGTTATGCACCTGGGCGAGCAGGAGAAGCTCAAAAAGTCCTTGAGTGGTCTGAGCACTACTTGGCAACAGCTGAAAACATCAGTGTGTTATCAACATTCTTCTGGTACTAAATCCAAAACACAGCACTATGCTAGCTACTATGAAGAAAATTAGCTCTATCCCAGCCGAAACCAGGACATATGCTAATTGCAAAATCATTTCTGTGCCTAAACCTAATTTTGCTGTTCTTTCACATTGCCAGTCTGTTCTCTCATTCTTTGTCAGAAAACGTTTACAGAACAAACTTTCTGGCTTAATATGATTACGTTTGGGGCTTACTGTTGACAATTAGACTTGGTGTACTGTCTAATAATAAATAAATAAGTATTTTCCTGTTAAATGTAACTAGGAAAGCTTGGTCATCTCGCAGGTATAGTTGGTGATGGTCTGTACAACCTTTTAAAGCTTGAAATGGACTAACAGAGCAGCAGGAGAGAAGCTGGATGCCTCAGTAGGCAGAGAAGGCAAGATAGTAATAGCTTTGGGCCAGAATGCATACACAAAAGAACTTTGCAACATCTTACAGGCATTTTACTTTTCCTTAGGCTAATACTCAAGTAAAGAAGGTGGCCTAGCCAGTTTTGTAAGCACTCTACTTAGCTAGATGAGGTAAATTTGGTCCTTCCTCTTTCCTGTTTTGTAGGCCATGGTACGCCACAATCGCATGGAGCTACTTAGTCATCCCGTGTGTAAAGAATATTTGCTTATGAAATGGTAGGTGTGTTTTAATGTACATAAAATATAATATTGCATTTCAGGATGAAGAATATTGTGCTTGAGAGTTGTTTACTAAGATGTAAATATTTATAGTGTTGACTGAAGCAAATGTCTTTTCCATATAACCTCTCATAAGCATATTTAGAATATGCTGATGATTATAATATAAAATGTAGCTTAGCATTTAGTAATGATTCTTTGATATTTACAGCAAAGACAACCACTATCTTTGTTTCCAATTTTTGCAAAAATATATAATAGTATTGCTGAGTTAAAAAGAAAAGGAACAGTATTTCAGAATGGCCAATACGCTTTTGTCCACATAAAGCTCAATGGACACCTTTATCACAAAACGACGTTTAAAGAAATGTTTATTTCCTCATCTTGAAAACATTGTTGGCTGTTAGATTTGAATGCATGCTCTTCTAAATTTGTAATGTGTTGTAACTTTAACATTCTTACTTCTAAGGATGGCCTATGGGTTTCGAGCACATCTGATGAATTTAGGCATATATTCTCTCGGTCTCATTCCACTGACTCTTCTGGTCACTCACATACAGCCAGGAAGACCTTTGAATGGAACAGAGATCTATGAAGCAAGACCATTAGAATATGAGGTACTGAGTTTTCTTACTAGGTACAATTTGTTTAGGATTTTTATAGCAAAAAAGGTGCGATTATTTAAATAATTTCTAGTATTATTTATCATTTAGCAACTCTAAGGAATAGAATCAAGTGTATATTTTTAAACATTCAACAGTAGATAATTTTCAGTTCTCATTTCTTATTTTTAATCTTTTCTAAAAATTTTACATTTGGTACATGGCTACTTCAATTTTTTCCCTGAAGTGAATATTTCTTTAATGTTGAAGAAAAAATATTAATGTGTATTTAATTATGAAAAGACAGAAAACAGTGGATTCTTTAGCTTTCTATGTCCTTTTAATTTTCAACCAAAATAACTGGATATTGTACATTTAAAATTTGGCATAGAAAGAGTAGTCAATATTAAAGTGCTTTTCAGTATTCAAACACATCTTGCTTTGCCCATATTATGTATTATTTTCCCTTGCAGGCCCAGTATTTCTTCACTAGGCTCAATAAACTATGAGGCTAAGACATAACATTGCTGCCAGTCTGTATATAAGTACCTCAGGTGCAACAGTAGTGAAAAAAGTAACAGCAGAATTCAGTCATATATGGATCAAAAACTCTGTAAAAGGTCTTCAAGTGTATTGGATGTTTCCTATCATCCCTGTTAATAAACTTAAAGGAAAAAAATAGAAAAAATCGTGTTGCACTAAAATGTGAATGATATACCCCCATTTTGGAGTTATGATATCTCAGAAAACTTGATTAGGTAGCAAAGTACATATGCATCATAGTGACTTTTGAATATTTGTCTTCACAGTCACAGCTGTGATAGGTGTGGGGCTATTCTAATCATTTATGAATATTGATCTCATTCATGTTATGCATTGGATGGAAATACTACTTTAGTTGGGGCCGTAAGGAAAGCAAGCAAGGATGAACCCTGTCTCAGGATAAGCCTGTCCTCCACAGATGCTTTGGAGTTGTAAGAGACAAAGCTCAAACTTTTTTTCAGAAGCTGGAACTGGAATAATTAGGACACCATAGTGAACTGAAGAAGTTAGACTTGCCAGGTCCACCACTAAAGGAGAAAGAGGCTTTAGAAGAGAAAGACATTGGTGCCACTGGCTGATGTTGGTTTTGTAAGTGTTTCCTTCCTGCAGTTAAAACTAAGCAGTATTTTGTCTTTCAAGAAGGCTATGTTGTCCCTAAGCTGAACATTGTACTAGGCTTCCAGAGAAGGAACTGCAAGTTCTGCTGTTTATTGAAGCTGTGAGTACAACTCATATGTGGAGTTACAATCCTGTGTCCATGTGAAGGGCAGGAGAGTCGCAGAGCTCTGTCTCCACAACATGAAGTCATATATTCTGAGAAGACACACCTGTGTCATTAGCCCTGAAACAGTAACATGCTGGTGTTAATGGAGACAAGTTTTTGTTGTGTGACGAACTTTTTAAAATGATCCAGTTCAAATAAGTGATTTTACACTAAAACCAAGGATTTTGGCAAGAAAAAAAAAAGAGGCAAGATGGTTCTTATGGGAGAGAAAAGACATAACACTGAAATAGGAACTCAAAAAGAATATGCTAGTAAAAATATTAAATAAAATAAACTCAAGGGATATAAAAGGTTCATGAGAATATCCTGGTATATGAATAAGTCTGGAGAGTCACATGCCCAATCCCAGTGTGGGATTCTCAAAGATTCAGAAGCCAGACCTAGCAGAACTGGAAGAATTCATGCTCCAGTAACTCATCAGAAGTGTGGAAGACAGGAGAATGACAGGAGCTGCATATGGCAGACAGAAGAATGACTCGGACTGATCCAGGTCCTTAATCATCACTGACTGGGTGGAAGAAGCATAGCTGGAAGAGGGAGTCATGTCCTTCAATGAGGAACGGTGCCAGCTGGTGGAGCAGCAGTGCACTAGAGCAGTGCACAGGAGCTGTCAAGGTGCTGCCTGAGACTAGAGCAACAACAGTATCTATGACATGTCATGCACTGGAGGAGACGGTGTCCTAATGACCCAGTGACGGGAATGGAGCAAGGAATGACAGCTCTGTAGGGAGCATAGTGTTACAGAACATGGTGCTGTACTCTTAACCCAGGTTAAAGAGGGGCATCACAGTAGGGCAGATGCTGATGTGTATTGCTGCACCACTGAGAAGTAAGTGCCATGAATTTGTGGTCTGCCTATGAGTTAATGAACCCCTCAGGTGGGGAACTAGCTCTACAAGTCAAAAGATGAAATTCACTATTGTTAATCTATGCCAATAGAAGGCTTTTTGCAACAAAGTTGTCTCTGCCTCTACTGGTTGTAAAGGGAGACATCAAAGGGAGCAGCCACGTAAGGATGCCAGGACTTCCAGTTTGTTCTAAGACTTCTGTTGCCATTCCAGATACTGCAATATGATAATGAAGTTATGAATGACAGAATTTGTCTTTATGTTCATCCAGTGGCAAAACATACTGAAAATGTAGCATTAAATACTCTATTTCCATTCCCGAACTCAAACAGTTGTAATAAAGAAGCTGCAGAGCAACTATTTATCATGAGAATGCTCAAACTTTCATACTTGGTTTGACTTACTTAAACACAAGATATATGACATTCATTTCACAGCAAATATTAGTAAAACAGAATTTAGACAGTAATAGGTTTATTTGAAGCAATCTGTCAGAGTTTCTTAACTTGGCAATATAACTTATATGTAGTAAGTAGAGCTGAAGTAAACATTCATTTAATAATTTCTAATTTGTTTTGTGCTCTGATTTTTGTTTCAGAACTCATACTTCACAAGGGTGTGTATGTGTTTAGTTTTAATTATGAGTTTACTGGGAATCTGCAAAGAAATATTTCAGCTCATTCAGCAGGTAAATACATAGAGAAATAACATTAATCAGACAGTGTGCTTGCATAGACATTTGTGTGATATCAAAATAAATCTGATTTTTCCTGAATTAAAAAGGAAATACCAATTTATATAAGCTTAAAAGTGAGAAGAGGATTTAAAGAGTATATTGAATTCAGTCCTTCAATGATGCATGACTTGTAAATATGTATCTGTCTCTCTTAAATCCTAGAAATTGAAATATTTGTTGGATTACTCCAATCTACTGGACTGGACAATTTATACTACAAGCATAATTTTTGTGTCTTCTTTGTTTATTAATACACCAGCTCATTTGCAGTGGGAATGTGGAGCAATTGCTGTATACTTGTCTTGGATGAACTTCTTGCTTTACCTTCAACGGTAAAAATTATTTACATGCTTTACAGTAAAATACTTTTAATATTTTCAGGGTTTTTATGTATCCTAAACCATGACTGGTCAAGTGTGATAGCCCTATTTTTTTATTTTTATTTTTTTCAAGCTATACAAGTTTCCAGATTAGGATCATTGGACTTTTTTAACATAATGAACTGTAAAATAGTTTTCCATGCTTTTCATGTAGAGAATCACAGCACATATTATGGCAACTAAATAAATAACAAGATTTATTTTAATGTTAAGTAAACAAAGCCACCACATAGGTCTTTTTAAAAACATTTCACTATACTGTATAGACTTTCACTTAAAAAAAAAATAATAATTACAAGAGGCAAAAGGAAGTCTGATTCTATTAGTTATACCTGGGAGAAAGTAAATTCTTTTATCATCTTACAGATTAAATGGCACACCCCACCTTCCTACTCCATGGCGTCCTGTAAAAGAATTATAATGGATGAAATTATTTCTTTAGTTGACGTTAGGTCTATTTATTGCCATTAATGATCTTAATGCTGTCACTGGTACAATAGTGTCCAAGAGTTATGGACCACAGGAGAGCTGGGTGGAGGGAAAAAATAGTGTGGGTGTAGTGCTTAGGACTAATAAATTAAACATGTTTGTGCCTGAGCAGGACTGCCTTGCACAAAGATGAGGTGTGGCTGATCAGCAAAAAAGTGGTGATTTGGAGCTGTTCGGAAAATAAGGATAACACTGCTTGTATGCTCTTCTGATTCTTATTGCATATATGAACTAATTACCCCCATGAGGTCTGGTAGACAGGCAAACACAGCATTTGCTGCTTAATTTTAGGCTCATTTTACTGCTGTTGGGATGTTTAAGGACAAGGTTTGTAAACACAGTTAATGTCATAAAGAGAGGGTGTCTTTATGGTACTGCCTCTGCTGGCAAACCTTGTCCTGCACATGTCTGACCTTAGGTGACTAATGAATGGGTGTGACCTCTCTGCTCTGTGCCGTGGGCAAAATAGGGGTTGAACCTAAACAGTAAAAAGTAAATTCATGACTGCCCAACCTTCCTTCTTCTAGATGAAATGCTTCCCTGGCCTGAATATTTTTCATTTGTATAGCAGTAGAACTCTACATGTTGTTTTCCTAACTTATTCAAGCCATCTCTTCTCAAAGCAATCAGTAGCCCCACTGACTTCAATGAAATTTTGCCTAATAAATGCCTAATAAAGAGAAGATCAGGTTTGCTTTACTTCCAGCTTGATCTTTTCTGCCTTGGACATAGTATTTCAGGGGGAAAATCCTGTGGAGGAATTTTCTCAGTTGCTAACATTGTAGTATAAAACAGTCATCTGGTCCTCAAATCTGGCAGAGGACATAAATTCCCAAGTTCAGGTTGGGGGGAAAAGTAGCTTAATATGCTTTATGATAACTCATGTTCTGAGATTTTGTTTAAGCCAAGAATGGGAGAGGCTTGCCAGATGACAGACTGTTGTTGGAAACAGGTGTCCTAAGATTGTGCTACTCCCCTTCTCTTCCTGAGCAATGTGTTTCTTTTTGTTTGCTTGTTTTCCGTACCTTGTAGTGTCATAAAAATCAAAATATTGCAAAATCAGGCATGTGGCTACTAGATGAATCATGGTGCCAGTGTCCTTTTTTCTCATTGCTAATTTGCTTCAAAAAGCAGCAAAAAATGAGATAATTTCCTAAAGTTATTATTCCAAGTGCAACAGTTTTACAATATTGTACTGTCTGTGCCTATGGAGAGCATAAAAGTTGTCCATGAAGAATAATATCTTGAAGAAGTACTGCTCTAGCGCATTAAAATGTAAGATTATGTAGTTTAGGCTTGCTGTAAATAAGACCACTTGCATTCTTTTGGATGTGACAGTACAACATGTTCGTACCATCTCAGAATGTCTCAGAGGCAAAATGTCTCTTTTCACACATGAAAATAAGAATTACTCACTGCCTTATATAAATAACTGTAAGGGACTTTAGCTTCGGTATTTAATTTTGTATTTTTTTTCTGTTTACTTATTGCCTAGATTTGAAAACTATGGCATCTATGTTGTGATGTTCTGGGAAATTCTGAGGACTTTGATTCGGATTGCTGTCGTTTTCTTTTTCCTGATATTGGCCTTTGGACTAAGTTTCTTTGTCCTTTTGGGTTCACAGGTTAGTTGAATGGCATAGTTAATTTTATCATTATAAATATTGTTTTTGACTAAAGAATCTCAAGAGGTTATTTACAAGTTTCATCGGTTTGGGTTTTTTCTTGATTTTGGTATTTCTTCTTTTTGCAGCAAACATACAGCACACCTCTGCTCTCTGTAATGAAGACATTTGCAATGATGCTGGGAGACATTAATTACCATGATGCATTCCTTGATCCATTACTAAGCAGTGAATTGCCATATCCATTCCTGAGTTATACAGTTCTCATTATATTTACCTTGCTTATTCCCATCCTTCTTATGAACTTGCTAGTAAGTAAACTACTTATTAATATGCAAAAGTGCTTGTAACTGAACTACTTATTGATATACAAAAGTGGTTAAGCACCAGTTTATACACAGTTTTAGCATATAGAATTTCTTCAGTGCTGATTCGTGACATTATTATTATTTAACAAATTTATATTTTCAGTAACATATTAAAAAGTTTCCTCTCTCTGGGCTTGTTTTCCATCCAGGTTACTGTTCTGAGTATTTTCCCACAGTTAACTCTTGCAGGGTTATGTTGTATATCTTTAGGTAGTAACTGTAATGGAATTTGAATTGGAGCTGCAAAGTAGTATTATGAGATCTTCATAAAGAAAATTGAGGAACAATGATTTTAAGAAGTACTTTGATAAATGTCTCCTAGACTAGACATAGTTTTAATGGTTCAACCCCTTGCTGTATCATAACCTAGAGCTAACAATACTTTTTTTTTTTTTAAAAAAAGCCAAAATCCAGATCTTCATTGCACAAAAAACAGCAGTCAAAGTAGTGTTATAACTAACTAATGAGCCTGACTTGAATAAAAGAATGGGAATACCTGGTAATGATGAGAAAGGGGGGAAAAATGTAATATATCTTCAGCCATGTTCCACTGAACATTAGTTTTTTTTTTTTTTTTTTAGGAAATCAGGTTTTTGTATGAGCTGAGTAATGAAACCCAAACAATTCAAGTTTTTTAAGTTATTTATTGCTGCCATGATCCTATTCAATCAAGAGGTCAACAAGCTTTTTAACATAACAGCAGTAATGAAGAATCAAAAAAGAGGGGATGTTATTCTTGACAATTCTTTGAAGTAGCTCTTTAGTGCTTTACTGGTAGACAGATAGTTGGCATTCAAAAAAGCTTACTACATTTCTTGATATGGATTTTCCAAATATGCACAAAAGGGGTTTGTTTCCAAATTCAAGCAAAACAAAATAAATTTAACTTTAGAGTCTTTTTGGATTTAAATGTGAATAAGAAATACAATTGAAATTACAGACTATGAAAAAACAGATAATGAAATCTTTCATGGTATTTTTAGATTGGTTTGGCTGTTGGGGACATAGCTGAAGTACAAAAATATGCTGCGCTCAAAAGGATTGCAATGCAGGTAAGTAGCATACCACAGAAGCACCAACAATAGGAAGTAGATGTCATTGTTAGAACACCATTCAGATAATAACCTGATTTGTCATCAACATCCCTAACTAACATCTTAGCATCTGTGTAAAGCAACTTGGTGAACACTGGCGTCCTATTCTGAATCTTATTTTCAGTGATGTGAATCATTGTCAAGGAAATGTATAAGCAAATGCATTTTTAAGGAACTTCTGAACAGTCAGTTCAATGAATTCTGAGTTTTTCCAACAACAGAATCTCAAAATGAGTAAATTCAATGTTTGAAATTGGAGAGTTGCCTTTTAAGGAGAGAATTGATACAGTGGAAAGAAGGTTAAGGTACACAGAAATCAAAAGGACACCAGATTCATTGCAGTATAGTGAAGGGTCATGCTGGTCTGTGTACTGAGGAGATACTGTGCAATACCAGGTATAAGTAAGAAACTTAACGTCATATTTCTACATGTTTTTAATTACCTTAAGATGTATAAAGACGCCTAAGAGAATTTCTGTTGAAAACGGAAGAGTTTAGCAATCTATCTGCTTTTGAAAACTATATGCATCTTGGATATCTATTTTCAAAGTGGCTTTTGCAAATGTAGCATCACCTGAAAAGGCACTCATATATAACATACTTGTTTCTACCCAAGGGAAAGTTCCTTTTCTCACAGGCAGTCCAGTGGCATCTTAATCTATACTGACTCTGTCATAATCTAGTAAAAGGATATAGCACAATTAAAGAGAGAAAGATCACTCTCTTTCCCATTATTATTTGGTCTTAAAGCCCATGGCTATAATAAGTATTCTGTCTTTTGAACATTTCTGCTCTGTAATTCTGTACTGCAACCCACAGTGTACTAAATCATTCAAGCCATTACACAAGAGCTAACTCAGTTTTGCAACCGTTTTACTTGTAAGAGCGTGCATCTATGTGGAATAATTAATTCTGCTAAGATAATCAGTAATGCTATGACTAGCTATTAGTGTCTGGGCTGGACTGTTCAAATATTATACCATTTTCTGCAGTGTAGCTATCCTCTCAGACTTGACACCTAATAATAGTGATTTGAATATAATGGCATGATGATTATTTTTACATGATGATGTATCTTTATCTTAAGAGAATATATCTTACTCTAAATGCAAAACTACGTTTAGGTTAATCTTCACACCAACTTAGAGAAGAAGCTACCATTTTGGTTCTTGAGTCGGGTGGACCAGGAATCAATCACTGTATATCCCAATAGGCCGAGATACTGTGGATTTATGGTAAGATGGTGAATCTTAGACTACAGAATTCTTACTAAAATGTGATATGATCAACTTACTTTGTACACAGATTGCTAGGAACATTGCATTAATAAGACTCAGTCATTTACGGACATCAGTGGAATCATGATTAGACATTGACTATCTTCAGTGCGAATGATGAATCAGTTTGAGTGCAGCCTAACTTATTCAGGTAGAATTAGTGTTTGAATTCTCAGTGATCCGTGACTTTACTAAGAGAGACAAGCTACAAAAGTTATTCAGACAGAAAATGAAATTACTCCCTTTTGGTATTTCTTCTTTTACTTGTTTACTTTTCATTTCAGTTGTAGTTAGTAGGCTGAATTTTATGATTAAACAAATTTTGCAGGACAAATGCTTAATATACAAAAAATAACTCCGTAACAGAAACTTTTTTCAACTTTAACACTGTGTGGAGACTGTTACCATTCACCTAATTGGGATTTTTAATCTATTGTCAGACTATAATATCTGGTTTCAGTTTGCTTCCATGTTTTGTTTAGAGTGTGTTCCAGTATTGCTTTGGATGTGAGGACTCTACCACAGATGCACAGAGCACTGATACAACATTAGAACTGGAAGTTCTGAAGCAGAAATACAGGTATTCATTGTGTTGTTTTACTGCTGTAGAAATAAATAGAACCAATATTACAAATATACTCCTATCTAAAAAAAAAAAAAAGTGTTCTAAAGCTCCACACTGTACCTAAAAAGTAAAAAACTATGTATTTAGTGCCCTCAAGTAAGGTCCCTCACTACAGTAACTTAGTAATTTATATTCTGTAAGGTATGTACCTTCAAAATACTTGTGTGGTAGAGAAATATTTTTATCCCATGGCAGAGGACAGGCTTGTTTGCTCATTAAAGTAAACTGAAGTAATGAGGAAAACGCATTTTCATTTCAGAATTAGAGGTTTGTTTGTGGAGGTTTTCAAGAGTTATTTTGAAGTCACAATGGATGTAACTCCAATTGGTTTGCAAATATACAAAATCTGTAACTGACTTTCCACTGGTCCAACAGTAAATCTGCTTCAGTTTGTTTCCCCAAAGATGGTTTGGTGTCCTGGTTCTCCTTTGGACAAATTATCTGTTTTCCCAGGCCTTTGAAGGAATTCTCTGTACTTACTTTTCTTACTCATCTTACCAATGCATCCGTAAGAATAGTTTCAGAAAAGCCTTCTGTGCATGTAACAGCTAGGAAAACCTATTCTTTCTCACTTTGTCTTACTCCATCCTCCTCTTTTTTCTCTCTCTTTTTTTTTCATTCTCCCTTTCTTTTTTTAATCTACTAAATTTTTGTCTCCCTTCACAGAGTCTGATTAAGTATTTTTTTGCATGAAAGACTCAGCAAGAGTCAAAGGGGTGAGAATACACCCTACAGGTGTAGGCAAACCATGGAATTTAACAAGTCTTTCTTCAAATCCATACTACATCAATATATTAGGAACCAGCATATAACATACTCTTTTTGGTTTTTTCCCCTATAGAGAAGGAAGGAAACTATCATTTTATAAAATTATTTGGAATAGAATAATTTGTGGCCATTTCACTAGGGAAAGTTATATTTACTGCTCTGAAAATTTTGGCTGAAAACTTTAGTTTTACTATGTTACCAGTATGTTTTTATTGTCAGAAAGCAAAACAGAGTTCAGTTCCTGCT